ATCTTTGGTTTGTGACATCAATTACTTACTGGGGAAATGCTCATGAGAATATTACTTCAGATGGAAAATAAACTGCAAAAATAGATGAACTTAAAGATCTTGCTCATGTGTTTTTAATAGAGATTTTTCAGGTTAATTCTAAATACATTTTTCATTTTTGTAAGGTATTAGCTGCTATTTAACCTTTGAGAGGAAGCCATTTTCATGGAAGCACACCCGAAATATGAGTTTGTTTAAAAGGTACAATATGCAATCTGGAGCAGAGATGCAGAGAAGCCATCTGAAGTTACTATCGGTGTTAATGGGATTTAAAACAGCTAGTGAGAAGAGATCTGCACTGTATTTTTATTTCTTTAGACACTGTTTCCCACCCTACCCACTTTCAATCAACCTAAAAGCCTCAGTTTCACAAGAGCCTGTAGCCAGTACAGCATAATCTGCCTTTTAATTGTAAGCACAATGCTGGAATTATCAATTAGCAAAATATTACTACTATTTTTGCCCTGAATATGTTCCTCTCCTCAGCAAAAGCAACTGAAGATAAACCTGTCCTGACATCTTAACGAGGAAAAATACATCATTCCTCCCACCCACTTCCACCACCTAAATTTATCAGCTTGATAAAAAGAGAGCATAGTAGCTTTAAGATTTCACAGGGGAAAGTTATAAGGTACAGCAAGTTACCACAGGACACCTAAGTTTAAGTCATACCAAAGTCACAAATGAATTTGAACTTGGTGGACTAGTCCCTATGTGCCCAAAACACAAAACCACCAAAAAACCTTGGCACAATTGACTGCCTCTTTGAGAAACCTGGTCCTCATTCTATTAAAAAAAGACACTACCATTTATGCTTTATTTTCAGAATAACTGGAATCACTCACAACATTGTAGTTAAAAAGGCCACCCTCCAATCTGTTTTTGAAGTACCACAATAAAGCATGTATTCTAACCCACCCTGCATGGGGAAATCCTCCAGATACAAGAAAGTGAGCACCTCTGATGATTTTTGTTTAATCCTAGCCCTTCAAACAAACTTAAATATAAATTATATTTAAAAGTGCTCTGTCCTTCTAGTCAGTCAGTCTAGTCTAACACCCTTTCCTCTATATATACACATACACACAAAATATTCTTACTTAAATCAAATCTTAGCTAGAACATATGTAAAAGGAATTTCAGGCAAGTAGGAGTACAAAGACTAATCTACTCAAAAAGGGGGGGGGGGGAGGAAATCTTACTAACATTAACATAGTGCCACTCTTTCCCTACCAGAATTGTTGTATGTAAGTAGCACTGTCTGCACCCTACGCAAGTTAACCTTGATTTAAAAGTTTAAGATTGATAATTCCTTACAGATGCAAAACACTTCATGGTATGGAATGGAAGAATGATTCAAAATAGTCATAACAGTACTAGATACAAGATCTATAGGAGGTATAGATGAGAAACCACAAAACACAATTCAGCTGCCAAATCCACTGAGAAACTAAAAGCGACTTAACAGCTGTCCAAATAACCACAAAATATTAAAACACTCCTGTTAGATATAAATTTCATCCTAAAGTCATCCCTCTCCCAAATAGAGGTATCATTTATTTGCCTATGAGCATTTTATACTTAATTTAAGACAGCTGGTGTTTCGTCTGGCTAGCATACTATGTGTGTTCCTGCAGACACTATTGCCATTCAAGTTGCATTTTGTTTCCAGATAACACATTTGTTTCTGAAAAGATTAATCAAGTGTTGAAATACTGAGGTGCACAGCCATAAACTGGAGTTGAACAGCACCAGGACTGACAGGTCAAAGAAAGAACAATGTATTTGTTGTATGAAGTACCATCTTGATTTAAACAGCAACATCAAGTTTTTTGTTTTTTGGTTTTTTTCTTCTTCACACACACACACACACACACACACACACACACACACACACACACACACACACTCACTCACTCACGGTCTCAAATTACTAGAAATCTTTTCATTAAACAAAATTTAAAACAAATTCTGGCTGCAACCATTGAAAACCTAAACACTACAGCATTGTACTTGAGAAACAGTGAGTGAAATTAACTAAACTACCTATTGTGAGTAAATTTTACTGTCCATAAGTGCAAAAATTAAACAAGCAGTGAAAGTTTGGGTTAAATTTTAAATGTTTTTTAAACAGACACTAGGGCTCTTTACAGTGTGCCTTTAAAAGGGAAGGCTCTCATTTTAAAATAATGCATTAGCAAGTGAGACCAGGATAATAATACACTTAGAAATGTTACTTATGACTATGTTTAGTGAAAAGCATAAAATTAGACAGAACTTAAATATTCACAGTAAACACTAAAGAGGTATGGCAAAGCAAAAGCTCCCATTATTACAACATTATTATAGCAATCTTATGTCAGAGCACACCCATGTGTGAGCATGCATAACTCCCAATTAAACTGAGCAAGGTTGTTGTTCAAGATCATTCAGTAACACAAACATTTTTATTCATTTGTGCCTTATCTTTCACTACATAATTCACAAAGCCACCATAATTACTCTGATAATTAGAACCAACTACACCATATCAAAAATCATAATTTAGAACCTACTAGTGGAAAACACAGTTTAATGACTACTTATAACACTTATTTCTGCTCAGAAAAAATCAATTATGATGCATTATAATACTTGATTAGTCAAGATTTTATCATTACTATTCAGACAGTTGTATGAGATTAGAGACATTGCCAAACTGACAATTGTTGACAGCAAATTTCTCTTTTTAAGTTTTATTTTGAAGATGCAGTTTAAAAACAAATGTATGGATACAAAGATCCATAAATAAAAGCTGATGTTGAATCTGATCACTTAGATTTTGGCATTTCCCCTCCAATAACTAGTGTATTATAATAATCTTTCCTACTCGAACAATTTATTTAATTTGATCATTTTAGATACATTTACTGGATTATTATACATATTCTTGCCATTATAGAATCACCTTTTTTTAGGAATTTAAGTTTTTTCAAAGGAAAGATGAGGTAGGGACCCAAGACAGACCAACTATATATGCTCAACATTATCGACCAATAATAAATCTTAGTCTCAAAGGCCCTATATAAAGACCATTTAGCATTAAGATAGGAAATGATTTTAACTACCACCCATGCCTTGAAATTGTATCAATACTCCTCCCCCCTTGAGCAAGATGCATTACTATTACAGTGCAGTGGCCTGACCAACTTTTTTTTTAAACCACATTTCATGAATTATTCATAGCATGGATCCTTCCATTTCCCTAAGAAATTATCCAACTGAAATCTTAGTATTTAAACAGTAACTCAGTTTGAAAAGATAAGCAAACTAAGTTTGTTCTTAAAGATTACATATGTACAGACATTTAAATGTCTTACTGCAGTGTCATTCTTTACAAAGCTGCCTGGTGATCCATTCAAAACCCTTTCTAAACATTTTTATTTAAAAAAAAATCAAATATTAATTTATTGTCACTAAATTTAAGGAACTACCATTTTATACATATAATATCATGATTCCTTAAATTTGATCTTTTTAGTGTTTAACTAAAGCCTGTAGAACCAGAAGTGTTTAATCAGGACCTGCTGTCTATCGAGCTAAGCAAGCTACAGTAAGATCAGAACTGTCCTAGTAACAAAGAACTTAAAATACACACTTAAAACTACAGTTTAGCACTGGAAACATAAGAATTCAGCAATTCTTATCAAAAGGGGTAACAAATTTAACAAAGGACCTGAGTTAGTGGCAATTTAGGAAAGGCCTTTTAATTTCTGCACACAAAGGAGAGATTTACACCTCAGCTGCACGGCCACAAAAAGCTCATGACTGCATGCCTGGATGACAAACGTTGTGAAGTGCATTACTGGAAGCTGTAGGCTAAACTGACACAGGGAAGCCAGCAGACTCTGCACACCCAGCCAAAATTCATTTTCTCCTAGATTCGTTTGCGAAATTGATCCAGTTGTTTTTTAAATTGAAACAATTGCACAAACATGCCTAGAGCTAAGTCTTAGGGCCACCAGTTGAATCTTCTCTTACTTGAGAAGAACATGAAAAGGGTTTCTTTCCTCCCAACAGCTTTGTGATGACAGAGACTCGCTAATTACATTTTATTTGCCCCGAAGGCAACTTACGTATTTAAAGCCAATCACTTTCATCACTTGATTTTTCCATGAAACTTTAAAGACACCACAGACTGTCATTTCGGTCCGTGCCACATCCTAGGCGACTGGAAAAGGCATTTTCCCTTTGTTGTATCCGCTTTCGCCCTTGCCCAAGTGGCGTTTTGTGGGTGATTGATGACAGGACATGCCCCCCTCCCCCTCCGATATCTGAACAACAGGAGAGGAGGTGCCGCCGCCCGCCTCACTGAGGCACCACCACTAGCTCCCGGCGCTAATGGCTGCAACAAATCGATCGGGGGACCAGAGAGGGGGGCCTCGAGCCCAGGCACCTTTCCCGGGTGTGATCGCGCCTCCCCCACGCCCCTACGTACATGCTCACCCCCCTCCGCCCCCAGGATTTCCGCAGTTTGACTCGCCCCTGCGGCTCCCCAGCCGCCCAAGGAAAGCCTCCACGCCCGCCTCAGCGCAAAGAAACCCGCCCCCCCGCCAGCTCCCCCCGCCTAGAACGAGCCGCTCCCACCCCTCAGCCAGCCGGCCCCGACCTGTCGCCTCAGTCTGCCCCCCCCCCCAGCCGGCATCGGCCCAGCCCGCCCCCTCCCCCTTTGCTGCCAACGGCCATTTCTATTGTGTCGTCTCCGCGGCGATGCCAAACAGAGGCGGAATCGCCCCGTCTCTGCCGCTGCCCTTCCCGCAGCCCGAGAGAAAATGGCTGGAGGAGACTCGAGACCCCTCCCCCCGTACTCCCCAGCAGGGCCGAGAGCCCCCTCCCCCCAGCCAGGACCCGCTCCCCTGCCCCCCTCACACTCAGCCCCACCCAAACGTTCCCCCCCCCGCCGCGGGGCCCCCGGCACCCACCTGTGGTGAGGCGGGAGGACACCTCCCCGAAGGGCGAGGGCTCCATGCGCAGGTATTTCTGCGGCGAGGCGGCGGCGAAGGACGAGGCGGCGGCGGCCGAGGAGGCCGGGGCTGACAATGGCGCACATCGCCTCCGCTTCGGGGAGGCCGGGCTCAGCAGAGGGTCGAAATCCAGAGTCCTTTTCAATGTGGCGCCGCAAGCCATGGCCGGGGGGGAGCGGGCCGGGGGCTGCGGCGAGCCGGGGAGAGCGGGGTAAGGGGGCTCGGTGAGAGGGGAGGGGGAGACGGCAGCAGCCGGCCCAGCCCAGAGGCGCCTTCCCCACCGTCTGGGGCGGATGGTGGGGGGGGAGCTGCGTCAGGGCCTCCGCCTCCTCCCTATCGCCCTCTCCAGGGAGCGGCTCCGGCCCCCCCGGCGGCTCCTTCGCCGACGGATTCGCTCTCCGCCCGCCCCGCCCTCGCGAATTCCGCCCCCGGCCGTTCCCGGGGCGGTTGCTGGGACGGTAGGTGCGGAGCTGGGCTCGGCTCGCCGGCTAGGGGCCGCCGATGAAAAGCGATGGCGGCGGCAGCAGCGGCGGCGCTTCCCTCTGTGACTCTCCCACACCAGCAATATGGCGTCAATAACAACGCCGCTGATTCAAAAACCAGCCCTCTTCACTGCGCCTGCGTAGCAGGGGCGGTGGCCGCCGCAAAGGATTAGGGGACTTGTGGTTTTTCAGCGGCTTCCCCTGCACTATGTGAAAGCATTCAAAGGGAGTGGGGAGGAACTACACTTCCTGCCATGCAGCGCGCCGGGGCCCTAACTTCCGGGGTAGAATTTAAATCCCACAGAGGCTGCTGTGTGGGATGCAGGTTAAAGGACAAGTGACTGAGAGTGGTAGCCTTATATGTCTCTAGTACAGCAAGCAGGCAAATAACAATCAGGCAGGGAAGAAGAGCTTTAGCGCTGAGAGAAATATAAAACACAGTTGCACCCAGGAAAATGGGCCTAACTCTTAGGGGGAGGGGAAGTTCATATGGCAAGATTTCCTGAAACACAAAGCAGATCAGGAAGATAAGAAATGAAAAGAGAAGAGGCCTTCTGAATATGGTTGGGGCTGGCAATCTAGGATTGTGATGGGGGAAAGAAGCATTACTTGTTCTCAGCAATAATAGTGATTTTATACCTAAGTGCACTCCTGCTGGGATGCTGCACAAACTCTTATTATTTCTTTATGATACCACAGGTGCACATGGTACTTTACAACAAGTAAAATATACTGCACAAATGCTCTTAAGTAAAATGTGTGGTCTCAAAAGCTTTTAGTGTCAGAATTGTACCAACGAGTACAATAGTGTGTGACTATAAAAAAATATGAGAACACAGGTACATATCCTAACTAATAACATACTGTGAAAGACCTTAGTTGAAAAATTGTTTCTTCAACATGATAAAGTGATATTCTTACAATTACTTAAACTGCTATCTTGTAGAAGGAAACCAATGGAGGGCAGGGGAATAGGTTTAAAAAACTGTTTTCTATAGGGCAACATAAAATATCCCACTTCATAATCATAATAAATTACAATTTACCACTGTGCAAAATATAACAGTCAATTTAACTATTAGCAGCAACAAAAGATAAAGATATGGTATGTTCTTGGTAAATTAGTAACATTTTTAGAGATTAGGAAAATAGTCCTTTTCATAAATTATTTGGGTTTGGGTTTTGTCTTATTTTTAACAAATCAAACAAACAGTTCTTTAAAGGATGTGACTATACATCAGAATAAAACCTATCATCTGGAAATGAATCTCAGTTTTACAGGCCAAGATTAATGTATAAGTAATGTCTACTAAACCAAAAGAGGGACATATCAGTCTAAATATACATTTAATTATCCTGATGACAACATGTTTGCACAGTTCCTAGCACTATCGGGCTGATCCCGATTGGGCTTATGGGCATTACTGCAATACGAATAAATAGTAAATAATAAATAACTTGCTTTCCCTGTTAATAATAGCACGTCAGGCCTGGAATAACTAGAATAGGGTTTCCATAACCAGATGCAGCTGGAAAAGGGTTCTCCTGACTTGCACAGACCTAAAAGTAACTAATGCCAGTAGCAAATTAGTTCTTCTTACTGTTGTCTTTTCTTTTGGACAGACTTAGAGTAGTCAAAACATTTCTTCATTAAAGAAGACTCTGACAAGGCTTTCTTTAACCAAGGCAACATGTAAAACAAGGCCCTACATGACTAAGGGCTTGTCTACATGACGAAAAGTACCTGCATTAGTATACCAATATGATTCTATTGTTACAATTATTCTTCCCCAGAAGGACACTGTTACTCAGAATAACTGGCCTTTTTTCAGTTTAGTTTTATTTACAAAGTAAGCTAAACTGGAAAAGGCCATGTTGGGACTTACCAGTGTAACTATTGTGGTATAATTATGCTGGTATAGTAATGCTGATAAATTTCCTCATATAGACAAGGATTCATATGGGCATATAACTGACTTAAACAATAAAATGAAACATTCCATGAGCCAATAAGACCAAGGCAAAGCTTTCTTACAGTGATGGCTTTGAATCAGGTTAATCCTGTCCGTCTCTCAATTTATGTTTTACATCTAGCAGAGCGCTCAAGAGCTATCAGAACCTAGAAAGTCGACTCTGTCTCCATCTACATTTTGAGAGACTTGTTATTCTGGCACAATATATAATCAGTTATACCACATTTTGTCATAATCCATATCCTCTAAGATTAATTTACATTCGGTTCTATCATATAGGCCCTGTCTATCTCAGCAAAAAAGGGGCTTTTTTCCAATTGAGTTAGCTCAGTCAAGTTAGCTTAACTCAGCTGTACTTCTGCTCCCGCTTCCCACCATAACAGCCACATAGACACAATGGCCCAGACCTTCAAAGGTATGTAGGTGCCTAACTCCCATTGAAATCAGAGAGCTGGGCGCCTAAATACCTTTGAGGATTTAGTCCAATTTAGTGCAGTAAGATAGTTTGAGCTGTGTCTACCTGAATGTTGGGGTGGGGGACGAGTCAGTCAAGGGCCTGATCTACACTGGGGGGGAATCGATCTAAGTTACCAACTTCAGCTACATGAATAACGTAGCTGAAGTCGACGTACTTAGATCGACTTTCTGTGGTGTCTTCACCGCGGTGAGTCAACTGTTGCTGCTCCCCCGTCGACTCTGCGTGCGCCTCTCGCCGAGCTGGAGTACAGGAGTCGACCAGAGAGTGTCAGGGATCGATTTATCGTGTCTAGACTAGACGCGATAAATCCACCCCCGCTGGCTCGATCGCTGCCTGCCGGTCGGGCAGGCAGTGTAGACATACCCAAGGTAAACTAAGTAAATCGAGCTAACTGTGTGGCCAGTCGCTTTAAATGGGGTTTTTCCAATGACCCACAATTCAGCTGCCATCAACTTTAGATTATACCACATATCCTTGACGAGTGCCCACTGACTACTTTCAATGACAGGCTACTGCCTCTCCACCTGTCTGATGACGATGCCATCAAATGGCTTGGCACATTGCGCCAACACTGATATATAACTGAAAATACAGCTTTTTTTGCCCAGAGAGACAGGGCCATAGTTAGAAGAAGCAATTGACTAGGGCCTTGTCTATACACAAACTTGCACAGGTTTCAGTTTCTCTTAAACCTGTTAAACTAAACTGAAATAAGCCTAATGTAAACCAAAATAAGAGTATTCACATAACTTTTTGCACCAGTTTAATTCAATTTAAAGTTGCACCTTAAACTAAACCAGTGCCGTTTTTCCTGTAGATGAGCCCTAAGGCAGCAAAATGTCCAGTAACAGTGACAGTGGTTGAGGGTTGTCAGAGGGCATATGTTTCCAATTTAATTGTAGTTGAAAATACCTTAAAAGTCAGGGCTTCAATTTGTTATATTATTGTTCTTTCTTTATATATTTATATATATTTATTGTCAAAACAAAATGTATTGTACTGTAATCAATTATACATGATTCTGTTAAAGTCTATATTTTATAATCTTATTTTACACAAGTAGCATCCCCTAATTGTATTAACATGGAGGGTGGGATTGAACAACTGATTTGTTTAGAAGTGATGCCATATAGTTGTGCTTTTATTAGTTCTGTACTTCAAGCGGAAGACCTGTTAAAAGGGCTAATGGCCAGATGTAGCACAGGGCTTTGGACGTTACTGTGGTTTTAGAGAAAGTGGGGGAATAGTTGCTCTAGCTTATGGCTTTTGGACAATTATGACAAACCTCTTTCTCAGGCTCCTTCAGTATTAGTCTTTACATTATCTTCTTTCCTCTGTCCTCCCCTTCTTTTTATCCTAATCCTATTCCTCCACCTTGTTCTGCCACCTCAATGTCTTCCTAGTTTTCTTCTTTTTTTAATCTTCTATCCTCCTCTCACTCTCTTTACATCTCATGTGGGCCCCTATGATGGGGCTACACTAGGACTGAAACGGGAAGAGTTGGAGAACGGCAGGAGAATTGGAGAATTGGCCGGGAATGGTGAACCACAGCCACTGGGAACTGTGGGCGGCTGTGCCTGCAGATGGTCAATGTAAACAAAGTGTCTTGTGGCCCTCCAGCAGATTACCCTGGCGGGCCGTGTGCGGCCCGCAGGCCGCAGGTTACCCACCACTGATCTAAGCCAAAGAAAATCTCACTCACCCATTCCTTGCATGCCCTTACCCTTCAAGGTCAAGTATTCTCTCTCAACCTCTTGAAACACATGCACACATAAGTTATGTAGGCTTTTCCTTGTTATCATTGATACTACAAAAGTAAGAGTAAATATGTAAGAGGGGTTGTGAAATTTTTTTACTTCATGTAAGGGGCCTCTGGTCTCAAAAAGTTGAGAAACACTGCACTAAACTAAACTTCAAATTGCTGTTGGTCTTTGAAGCTGAAATAAATGCTACATATTAGCATAAAGGGTAATGAATCCTTTTGTTCATGGGTTTCCAAAAGAGTATGTGTTCACTTTTTGCAGACGCCATTTCACATAAGCTAAGGGAACAGTATAGCATTGCTTAGTAATCAGAGTGTGGAACAGAGTCATCTAAAGTTAACTAGACTGGTGGAAAAATTATAGGCCAAGGTCTGATCCAGCAAAGCACTTAATCAAGTCCTTAATTTTAAGCACACAAGTAGTCTCACTGAAGTCCCTGAGCAGACTTGTGCAGCTGGGTAAGGTGCCCAGATGCAGTGAAAACCATGGATTTCATCTATGTTAGCAGGTCAAAGAGTAGAGACCTACAAAGGGTACAGTAACAACTGAAAAGTACAGTTGCAGAGAGGGGTAGTATCTCATATGCCATCAACCAAACTGTTAACTTTGATGCATAAAGGAGAAAATATAACTTTCATACTCAGATCTTAGACTGGGTTTGCAGTATTGGTAGTTAGAAAAAATACTTTGTTAACCAAGCAAGACATTAAGAGACAAACATGAAATTCCACTGTGGTTTACTATCACTTCTGAGAATATAAACACAATTTAAATCAATGACTGGCTGTTAACCAGACATTTCTTCAAACATCCAAACTTTCAGGCAGCCTACATTTTGTTTACTTATATCAAACTCATATTTATTTGTGTGTGCAAA